CTGCGCTCTGGGCCGCCCTCTCCATGGTCCCTGCGCGCCCGGGACGCGGGTGCCCGCCGCGGTGGCGACTGCCGCTGCTGCTACAGCTCCGGGCGCCCGGGCCGCGCGTGGCTGCTCCAAATCCCCGGGAAATGCCTGACTCATACAGGAGGAAGAGGAGGAGGAGGCGAAGGAGAGCTGGGAAGGAAGCCAACGGGGCTGGATGCAGCTGCGGCCGCCCCTCCTCCCGCCGCGGCCAGGGCCCGGCCCCTCCCTCCCTCAGCACTAGTTTCCCCGGCAAGTTCGGAGCTGGTGGCCGGCTCAGCCAGCCTTCCTCGGCTTCCACCTCTCCTTTTGCTCCTCCGCGGCCGCTAAGGCTCGGGAAGGTGGAGGGGGGTGCTCCCCAGGGCCAATCGACAAGGTGGGCACGCCCTAAATCCACGCCCTGTCGCCCTAGCGTTCCTTCTGCCGCCCCCTCTCGGATCCGAAGGGGCGTCAGGGAATCTCCGCGCGTCACTCCCCACCCCCAACCCACCTCGGGACCTGGAGGAGGGACGGCCCCACCCACTCGGTCCACCCGGATATGGACCCGCCCGGCCTGACTCGAGCACATTCCCTCTCGCTGTCTTCCGCACACTAGCAGGGGACTGACACGTACACAGTAACCTGGAAATTGGCCTCACGGGCAGAGCAAAGTAACAGGACAGCGAAGCCCTCCGAGTTCTCTTACAGGTCTGGAGGGGGAGGGGAGGACAGGTGATTCTCGCAGGTGAGCTCCCCTGGGGTGTTATCACGCAAAGAGGGCAAAATGCATAACGGACACCAGGTTTAGGGACACTAGTGAGTCGAAAGAACTCTCAGGTTCGTGCAACTGCTTCCTTAAATCCAGTGACCTAGGGAGCTCACTTTGCCTACATTAATCCCCCTCCCTAAAGGACACATAAATTAACAAATCAAAACCTCCCATTGTTACCAGACTGCACCGTGCACTTTTGGAAACCAGAGACTGAAATCAAGAGACTACACGGAAGGCAAGTGAACAGACACTTAAGGAATCTAAGTATAAAAAAAACCCTCAAGATAACTGCACTTCAACTCGGTTTCAACTCTGCTGCTCGATCCAAATGTGTTGCTCTTTAGCAAAAGTAGATGAGTTTCACTGTCTCCTCCCCACTCATAATTTTTTTGAATATAAATATTCATTGCAATCTGGAAGTTTCTAAAATTACCTAGGAAAAAAGCTCTGAGGAGCTCGGACTCCTTCCTACACACACACACACACACACACACACACACACAACACAAAACCAAAGGTGATAGATGATAAGTGATCCCTTTCCAAAGCATCTACAAACCCCTAGAGCAGCTAAATAATTGAACAGTTTAAAAAGTTAGTAGATGGAATAGAAGTAGTTCTCATGGGGGCAATTCCCCAGCCTGAGCCCTTTCCTGTCTCACTCTAGAAATATTCATGGAGAAATTTCTGGGACTGATGAGAAGCGGTTTTACAGCCAAATATACTATAATCCCAGATGTCTCTACACTGTAAAAGAAAAAAAATTTTTTTTTCCAGGAAAGAGAGTGCATAGACCAACACTGAAACCAGACAGAGCTTATGTTAACCTATGACTTTGATCAAGTTACCTCTTAAGCTTTAGTTTTCTCACCTGCAAAATGGAACTAATACTGGCTGTGATGAACTCTGAAAGAATGTATATTTGTTCAAAATATTTACTACCTCTTCTAATAAGAGGAGCCTTGACCTTAGACTTGCCCATGAAATTGCTCTGGACAGTGGAATATGAATAGAAGTGATATGCCACATCCGAACATAAGCTTCAAGAGCTGTCATGCAGTTCCACCATCTTACTCTTTTCCTTTATACCATGTGAGTAGCATGTCTCAGATAAGGGCTCTCTTTAAGCTTGGATCCTGGAAGTACAAAATATGGACTGTAGCAGAGCCAAAGCCAGTTAGCACTGACCATGCCATGTTCACAAAATATTTGTTTTAAGCGATTGAAGATTTAGCATCATTTTGTAAAACAGCATAACTTTGCCTACGCCACCTGATACACTGATCAATATGTGAATGTTCATCCAAAGTCCTTCATTGACATAAAGACTGAGCAAGTGGGAGCACACTGAATGATAAATGTCAATCATCCCTCTTTTTTTTTTATTGGCTACTATTACTCCAAGCTCTTGCCTAAAAGGGAGACGTGGCATCATTTTATTTCATATTGTCTAACCTATACCACCATTCTTCCATCCTACCCAGCCAATCTACGACTGGTTGAGCTAGCACAGCAAATTCTCTCACCTTTGGGCTAAAAAACTGAAACCTTGAGACAGTCCAGTTGAAAGGAAGAAAGAGCTAAGTTGAAAAGAAGAGTCAAGACCAGAATGGGCCAGGGGCAAGCCAGCTGTGTGGGATCAAAAATAGCCTAAGAGAGCTGGGGCTTGGGCTCCATGGTAGAGTGCTTGTCTAGCATGTGTGAGGCATTGGGTTTGATCTTCAGCACCACATAAAAATAAATAAATAAAATAAAGGTATTGTGTCCATCTACAACTAAAAGAAAAAAATTCTTTTTTTTTTTTTCAAATAGCCCAATAAGTCAGTCAGTGACAAGAGGGGAGTGGAAGGGATGTGCTGACATGAGTAAGGACAATAACATGCAAGACTGATGAAGTTCTTGCTGGTCCCTCTGCTTGCAACACTCTTCCCTGCTCACTTCACCTGGTTTGTGCAGGGAACACAAACTTTTGAATTAAAAGTCACTTATTCTAGGAAGTGTTCCTATACCTACACTAGAATAGCAAATAGGGAAAAAATACCTTCAGAATTCTCTTCAGAGAGAAAATGTCTTCATGTTAGAAAGTCAATTTGAGGACAAATACATAATAAATTGTCAAAAAATACTTGTGATACATATGATTAAAATTTTTTGCAAAATATGTGTATCCAATATCAGGGTCTTTAATTTACCAGGATTGCATAGATCATTAATAAAAATTGAAATATAATTAGGATGGCTGGAAATCTAACAGCCATCTCGGGTCAGGTGAAGACTTTGAGAATGGAAGCCATGCATGATGAGAACAAGAAGACAAATCTCTCAAAATAATGGACAGAATCAGTAACCCCAGGAGGGAGCCAACCCCCTAACCCCTCACTTTGTCCTCCACATGAATTGGAATAGCTGGTCTGGAGTTTACGGTAGTTCTGTTATGTATATGTTTTATTGTCTATTTGTTTGCTTTTGGTACTGGGGATTGAACCCAGGGGTGTTCTACCACTGAGCTACATCCTCAGCCCTTTTTTATTTTTTATTTTGAGACAGGGTCTCACTAAATTGTCAAGGCTGCCCTCAAACTTATAATCGTCCTGCCTCAGCCTCCCGAGTCTCTGGGATTACAAGTGCTCACCATTCCACCCAGCACTAGTAATTGCTTCTGAAACCCCCTCCTCTTGCTGAATGTCATTCATGCTGATGACACACAAAGCCTTAGGAGGAGTAAGTGGACATTGACCTAACATTGACCTAGTTGGCCAAATGAGGTGAGTAAAGCCTGCCTCAAGTAAAGAAAAATTTATCACGAGCAGGTCATCCTGTGATATCAACTTGGTCATTTCTATGTTAGAAACACCTTATCTGATCTGTTCTCTGCACCAAATAATAGAAGAATAAACAGCTAATATTGAGCGCTTACTATGGCTAGACACTATATCAAGTGTTTTACACACAGTGACCCACAAATCCTCACAGCAGCCACATAAGGAGACCCCATAGTTTTTACTCCTATTTTCAGTTGGAGGAAACTGAATCAAAGAGAAGTTAAGCAACATGCTCCCTAATTCTCCCGGAGTCAGGATTTGAAATCAGGCAATCTGATTACTGAGCTTGAGTTCTTAACCATGTTATTCGACCTGTGATGACGTTTCATATTGGATCCAGTTTCATTTCCTGTACTTAATGAAACCACTGAAAGGACAGCTCAGCGCCTGGAATTCCATTTCCTGTTATATTTTTGCTCACTTAGGAATTGATTCTCCCTTCACCCGCTCCAACAGAAGTGGGGAGGTGCTTAGGCTCCTAGAATGCAGCCAAGGGCCTGTACACAATGATGCTCAATAAATGTTTAGTGTGCAAAACCCAGAAACTCAGAGAGGAGGAGCCAACACTGAGCCAAGGTCATCTGACCGTGTTCTTGCAAATACGGTATACTACTTGAGCTGTGATGTGCAAGAAGACAATGCAAGACGATTCAGAGGAGAAATGATTGGGTTGTAAGAGTCTTAATCCAATCAGCCATTTAGTTCCCCTGATAGAGCTTAACTGAGTGGTAATTGAAGTGGTAAGGTGTGGCTGGAGCTGATGGGCATCGGGGCGTGGCTTTGGGTATATATTTGTATCTGGTGAGTAGAGTCTCTCTCTGCTTCCTGATCATGCTGTGAGCTGCTTCCCTCTGCCCCACTCTTCTGCCATGATGTTCAGCCAGTCTGTGATGCCCCAAGGAAGGGAGCCGGCCTTCTATGGATTAAGATCTTTGAAATTGTAAGCCCTCAAATAAACTTTTCCTCTTCTATAATTGTTTTGGTTGGGTCCTTTAGTCACAGCAGCAAAATAACTGACTAAAATGAGGAGAAGAAAATGCCAGAATTACATTACAGTCTGCCATCGAGTGAATGAGCAGCACCATGAAGACCACCAGAGAGTTACATCCAGGGAAACCAAATAGCTGTGAAGGTCATATGTAGCTCTGCAGTACAGCTAAATGTGCATTATATTAATATTCTTTGAAAATAATATCACTGTTTTTATTATTAATTTTATTTTAAAAGATGCTTACTTTTAAAAATTCACACATACCAAATTATAAGGGAGAAAATGAAAAAAAAATAATATTCCCTCAGAGGAAACTACTGCTAAAAATTTATGTATGTATATATATTTATATATGTGTGTGTATGCGCGCGCACGTGAGTGCATGTGTATATGTGTGTGTGTGTGTGTGTGTGTATATATATATATATATATATATATATATCTTTCCAGACACTTTTCTATTCAGAGATATGAATCATTTTATTCAAAATCAGATGTGTACAACAAAATACTTAGTATTTTTAATATGCTTTGTTCACTACTGAAGAATGCAGTGTAGTCAATTTCCTTTAAGCTATGCAATCCTTTGTAACAGTTTCAGAGTGGTCTGCTGGATACATCTACCCTGATTTAATCATTCCACTACTTATAAACACTAGGATATAAAATTTTTGCTATTATGAAAAATGTCCTTTCTATTATCTTTTACCTTAGTTTAACTATTTCTTTAGAATAAGATTCAGGAATTGTCATCACTGGGTCAAAATCAAAATATAAATATAGCTGTGTACTGCAGAAGTACTTCTGGAAAGTGTGGGTCAGTTTTTACTGTGCTGATCCTGGCTCCATGTCACATGGTTGAGCCTTGGTTGGATGGCCCAGGTGGGCCTCGGCTGGGATAGTCAAGCTCTCTCTCCTCCATAGCTGGGTCTCCCATCCTCCAGAGCTGATCCCAGGCTTGTGCTCAGGGTATGGGAGGGATCCTGAGAAAGGAATCACAAAAG